TGAGACCTAGTGCATCTCTTACTTCAGCCCTAAAATTTATTAGTTCAAGGTTGATTTCGTCTTCTGACCTTGAAAATATGAAAAATAATATATAAAGAAGAAAGTCTATTGGTTGAAATAATAATGAAATTGGTACCACATCAACTCTCTGAGGTATTAGTGTAATGGCAGAGTACACTTTTTTCTACTTTGAGAAGGTTGATTTCTCAATTGTTTTGCAGCCCAAGTAAGTTCTATACTGATAATGCTTAGGTTAATTAGGAATAAGGGTAATTCCATTTTCTAATCATCAAAAAAGGATAAGAAAAACATTTACTTTTATTATGAAATAGCTATTCTTATATCAACATCTTGTCCTTTACTTTTTGCAGCCCAAATAAGTTCTATACCGATAGTGGATGACAATGATTCATTACTAGATATATATTGCCGAAGGTTAGTTGTGTTTTCATATCCATATTATCATTCTTCTTGATGCAATGGTTGACTGAACCTTCAAATTGCTTTAAAATTATCTTTAGTTCGAGCATGAATTGTCCTGGAAGTTAATTCTTTTCAGCCGCTTGTAGTGTTTCTCACAGTTGCCCTCCCCTTATATTGATAGTGATATAACAGCTTTGGCAAAGGACAGGGCTTATACACGCCTCAATTTTGATGAAATGACTATCCATCAGGTATGCTTTGTTTCTCATTTTCCCTGAACTTGTTTCGCATGCTATAAACTTATATTGACAATAAAGTTATGAAGTAAATGAAAACTTGTGCTTCTATTTGATCCTTTTGTTGGTAAACTTAGCTGCTCTTGTGAGGTTTGATATGTGGTGTTATTAAGAGTTGATAGAACTGGTCATATCATAATAGTAGGATCCTTTGAATTGGAGATGGTTAGAATTAGAATATTAGTCCTTTATTGAAATGCACAACTTTCTTTATTCTCAAATATTTGAGTTTTATGCCTCCAAAAGAGAAAATGATTTGCTTTTCTTGGCTATTGGTTGATTATGACTGCTAGAGAGATCTCCTGGTTGGTTGAAGTAGATGGCGAAGTACTGCAGTTTTATCAAATAATCAAAAGGTCTAAAGTGAAGGCTGTTGAGCCCTAATTCTAGTTAATCTAAACTACTGCAATTTTTTGGCAAAAAAAAAAAAAGAACTGCAATTCTTATAGATATGATTAACTTTATTCAAATTTATAATTAAATCTGAGATGAGATAATATATATGAATTTAATACAACCAAATTTGCTTAAAAGATATTCTAAATATTAATTTAAATAAAATTGAAAATCTTGATAGATATAAAATTTCCCTATTGATGTTCCTTATCTCATTCATAATTTAATGGAAACGTAGAGAGATTTATGTCTTTTTTAACCGATTAAGCAACCAAATATTAGGAATACCTATTAATGAAGATATTTTTTTACCACCAAAAAAAAAAAAAAATCGACCCCCATTTAGGCTGTCACATTCTGTGACGGTGGGGGAAGTTTTCTTGCAGTTGATAGATTTTTCAGTAGTTTTCCTTTTTTTTCGTTTGCTTTTAAAAAAACATACAATTATAAAACGCATTGTGGTCAGGATTTATGCGACTCTCTTCTTGTCCAGTTGTCCCTTGTTTGTTCTTTATGGCTACTAATTGAGGATTTTAACTGAAAATGGGAAAGGAAAATTGCACTTATAAATAGTAAGATTAGTGTCAATTTCAGTATGTAGCTAATGTTGCAAGCCTTATCAATTTCAATCAGAAGTGTACTGTCTTTTTTTTTTTTCCTTTTTATTTTTTGCTGAAATCAGATTGACATTTATTTGGTGATTTTCTTCTTGGTTCTTAGTCTCTCTTGCATATTTCTCTAGGCTCTGCAGTTAGGCCAGGACTCATATCATTCATACGATCTTAGAAGTCAGCGATGTCAGATGTGTCTGAGATCTGATTCTCTGCATAAAGTGATGGAACGGTTGGCAAATCCAGGTAGGTTGTTCTTTGCTCTTTGATGAAATGGAATGGACATTCAGGGTTACATTTTTGTTTTGTGGGACATTGTCTTCTCTTTTAGCCCAGTTCTCTAATTCTTGTCTCTAAAACTGTAAGTTTCATTCCCCTTGGAATTTTACCAAAAAACACATAAACAGGACAGACTACGCGTAATCAGGAGTGCTTGGGGACTTTTCTTCTAGCAATGGTTACCCACGTGGGTGTGCATAAAAATATGTAGTCGTTTTTACACGTTTGGACTGGAGAATGTATCTCGAAATTGTATTTAAAAAAAAAACAAAGTTAACAGGTTTAATAACATGTAAAAAGTAAACTTGAAGTTGTTTGAAAGAAGGAAGTAGGTGTTAAGAAGTGGGCTTTCTCATTAAGATGGAACGATAGCTTGAATTGTTTGCTGACTCTACCTGTGAGATGAGGTTAGTTGTTATTATTGTTGATAGTTTGAATCTGTTCAATTCTAGTAAAAACAGGACATTCCATATCTGATAAAGAAAATCTTGAAACCAATTTTGCGGAATCCATCTTTGGTATGCAATGATTCTGAAGAAAGAAAAGTATTGGTGATAATCAGTGACTTGTTACGGCATAAACAGAAGAGCTCCTGAGTATAAAGCACGGATATTTCAAAAAAGTAAATGTATTTGTATCCGATACAATACTAGTAGGATATTTCAGTATGTGTTCATATATTCTAACATTTGTATTATGTTTTTTTTCCAATAAGTTTTTCTATATTACTTAAAAACTCAAAAAAAAAAATTAATATTTTGACTGATTGTTACAAATATTCTTATATTAATTTAGAAATTCTTGTTCAAAAATCAAAATACCTATGCTTATATAATAAAATGTTGAGATATATTATTAAATATTTCTGTACCTGTATCCTAAATTTTGAAAATTACCTTATCCACCATATCATGCTATATTGTATCTGATACATGAATTTGTATTGGTGCTTCTTGTTTGTCATGTCGTAGTTTCTCCATATATCAAGTTGCTTTCATTTATAGGATTACTCAGCTGAGAAATATCTGCTATGTTGACTCTGAAATTCAGGCGTTAGGCGTTTAGTTGTCGTGGAAGCTGGCAGCAAGCGAGTAGAGGGCATTGTTTCACTGAGTGACATATTCAAGTTCTTCCTTGGTTAGACTTAGAATGGAAAATGAAGAATTACAATGGTTTGTGCAGTGGTTATGACATTTGTGCATATATTCAAGCAACACCACCTGCTCAGCCATTTTAAAAGGTTTCCTATGCCCTCTTTTTTTCTCTTAACTGGTAATTTGATCTCTTCACTTAAAATATTATTGGATTGGCCTCTTGCTTTATTGCCTTGTTTTAATGATTTTAGGCTAGAGAAAGAGGTCTGTAAATTGAGTTTGGCCCCATTTTTATTTATCTTACCCATCCCTTGTTATCCTCATCGTGCTCCCAGTATAAATACAAGAAAAAATGGGAGCTTAAGATCTGTAGTCATTCTGTACTGTGTTGAAGATATGAAGACTGGGGAAGATAATTTATGGGAGGAAGAATATTGAAATTCTGGTGTTTTGTATAGTTTATTATCAGCTTTTGGTCTTTGAAGAGAACTCCTGAGCTGGTACAATATGGTTTAATTTCCCCACCTTCATTTTCCTCATTTCAGTGTACATTGAGATTTTCCTGGGCAAATGTAAGCTGAATGAATTATTTTCATTCATTTCTGTTATGGAAAACCTGTCAGTCGGTTTTCACCTACTGAGGTAAGGCTCCTTGGTCTTCTATTATGGAACTTGAACGGAGGATTTTAAGCTTGATTTTAAGGGTAGGCTCTGTTATCCTATATATGATGAGAATGAGTTCCATGTTGTGGCATTTTTGTCCCTTCAATTTTGTTGTTAACTGTTCAAGAGTGCTTAATGAGAATGAGAAATAATATCAAGCATTGGGCGGAGTTATTGTTCAAATATGATTTCAAAGTATGATATGATAGTCTTTATAATTTCACTTATGGAAACACTACTGTAATTAGTCCCATTAAGGTTTTGAACAATACATCAATACATCTTATGGAATTTATAAACAATTAAACTATTCTTGCGTAACGAAGAATGAACATTTTTAAACAGTACTGAATACACCATGTCTTGCTATTTTTTATTATTTATTCTCTTGTTTCTATTTATAAGGCTTTAATTTTTGTCTGTATTTTTACAAGTTTTACATGTTTCGTAACAGAATATACTTGGGATTCATTCAAATTTTTTTCTTTTCAATTTAACTTCAGGATAGAAGATAAAGATTTCAATGAAGAGTACTATTAAAAGTTATGACGGTATTTTGATACTTAGTAGTATAAACTATTAACTAACTAATTTTAATAAAAATCTGTGATTTATTTATTTGAAAATGTCGTAGGCCTGTAATGTATTTAATATTTATTTAAACCTTTCGTGAATTAAGATGCTTGGTTTGCACTTTACAGGCTTCCTTCTGCCAATCTCTCCTCCTCTCCAGTCTCCTCTCAACTACTTTACTCTTGAATTTCAAATTTGAATGGTTGAGATTTATTGTATTATAAAATTATTATTATTATAATAATAGTATTGCATAAGAAATAACCTAATAAATGTAAGCTGTTAAATTTTATAATATATTATTTAATGTTATTCTTATAAATAAATTTATTGTTTAACATAATAATAATTTTATAATACAAGCACTTTTAGTCATTAAAATTCAGATTAATGGTAGAAAAGTTGGGAGTTGGAGAAGGGATTGGTTGGAACCCTTAAATGACATGACAATATTCGATCGCTGGATCACATCAATTGTGGGCACATATATGAGCAAAATTTAAATAAGATTTTTTCCCTATTATCAAGGAAAGCAGTTTAGTGGTTGGTATTTCATTTTTCTAATTTTATCCTTTTTTTTTAATGTATGAGAATGGACCATATTAATGATTAATGTTAGAGTTAAAATATTTAGTATTTTTTTCCCTCAAGAGTACCTAGTATCTTTAAATAAACAAAGATGCAAAAACATTCATGAACTTGTTTTAATGAATGCAATAGTCTCAATTCAGTTAAATTTGACTAATGTCCCGTTAACATTGACTCTTAAAAAAAGATGCAAATATAATGTGCAAAAAAATTCATAAATTTTTTTTTCAAAAGCTTTTGATATTCTCAAGTCAATAATGATGAATGGGTCTCCATTAATTTATAAAATAGGCTAATTTTCACAATTCATTAAGTTTATATTCTTAAAATTTTATGGTCAATGTTAAGTTATTTTAATGAATTGAGAAAGGTTAGAGTTAATAATTTAGGTTAATCTTTACAAACTAATTTAAATAAGCCTGAAAAATCTCAGAATTGGGCTTGAGAGTTTAATTTTTTTTTATTTCGAGCTTATTTGGACTATCTGAATAAGCCCAAAGAAATTTGAGGTAAGCCTAAACTCTAATAGGTTTAGCCTAAATATTCAAATTCTTTTTTTTTGTTATTAATAAAGTGAAATCAAAATTAGATTTTAAAAATATAAATTTTTTATATAAAAATTGAAATTGACTTAAAAAAATAAAATAAAGTAATATTTAATAATTTAGGTATTTGGGCTAGCCTAAGTTGTTTGGGCCAAGCTAGGCTATATGGCTTTTTTATAGTTAATGGATACTTATGTACCATTATTGATTTAAAGATAATAGAAGCTCTTAGAAAAAAAAAAAGTTTATGAGTATTTTTATATCTTATATTTATTTACTTCCTTTTTTAAATGATCAATGTTGATGGACAAAAGTCAAATTTAATAGAATGGGGAATGTTATAATGTTGCACTTATTATAATAAGTTCATGTGTATTCTTCAATCTTCATTCACTTAAAAATTATTGGATGTTCTTAGCGTAAAAAGGCAAAAGTACTTAGCAAGTGGTCGGCCAGAAGTATCCAATAATCTAAAATAAAAAAAAAACTCATAATATTATCAAAGTTGGTGTCAAAATGACCAAACCCTTAACTTGCCTTAACATTCGTTAATATCTGGTGTTAAATACTGACTATATTTGCCACGTGTTAATGTTTGCTAACATGAATTAAAAATGGGGTAAAAATACCTATGAAGCCGTAAGCCAAGAGCATCCAGTAGCTTAATAAGAAAAAGAGGGCAAGAATATTATAATGTTATTTTAATAGGTGCAATAGTGACTAATCCATTAAATCCTTTCAATATTGATTATTTCACTGACACATGAGCAAAAGTTAACTTTTTTTTTGATATGGACAAAAAATATTTTTAGGTAGAATTTTTTACATGTTGATCGGTTATCACATGAATACCATGTAGGAAAATGTTTTGACGAAATAGCAAATTAAATTTCTCGCTTCTTTGCAGTAATGCAGGAAGCCATTAAGGATTTTGAACTCATTGTGAACGAAATCACTTAAGGACAAGGTTGTGCGAATGTTTCTGAGGTAGGTAACGTAGAAGATGTGTAGCCTCAAAAGCATTACGAGTAGAGACAATCTCCTTCATGGAGTGCTTGTGTTCTTTGTAGCAAGTCACAGCTACTTTGCTCTCAATCTTCAATTGTGTGCAATTTATCTTACTGTATTAAATTTTAGGTTTTGCAAATAAGAAAAATGAGTAGAAATGGAGGGAGGAAGGGGTAAGATACATAATGATGGAAAGAAATCACGTGGTATAGATTAATTACTATCGCACCTATTAAAGTATCGTTATGAGTACTTTTATTTTTTTTTTCACTTTAGATTGCTGGATACTTCTTGCTTATGATTTCATGGATATTTTTGCCTATTTTTTAGTTTATGTTAGCAAATATTGACATATAATAAGCATAGTTAGCATTTAACATCAAAAACTAATGAACGTTAGGACAAGTTTAGGGGTTGATCATTTTTTGCACCAATTTTAATAACATCATGAGTATTTTTATTATTTTTTTTATTTTAAACTATTGGATGTTTTTGATTAACATTTGATGAGTATTTTTGCCCCTATTGTTCAAAAAACATTATTGAATATTTTTGCACTTAAACCTTCAATGGAATATAGTAATGGAAGACAAGTGCTTTTAAAATGCTTTTAGGAACGAGGATAACCATAGCAAACTTTATCCCAGGTTTCATGGATTGCACGAGTTAATTTGTTCTATAGGCAACCAAATTTTTAAATATATTATTCATACTTGGAAGTGTCTGTCAAATATAGAGCCCCAACTCTTTTGGCACGTGTCCTAGTCCGACCCAGGAAGCAAGGTTTGGGCTAAGCAACTGGTATGGAGCTTTTGAAGGCCCAACATTTTTTTGGCCAAAACCCAACATTAGTGATTAATCGTCTAATTTGGACTTTTACTGGTTTTAAGCTTTCTTATTATTGGAGTCTTTCATCTTACTATTTGGATTTCTATTGTTTACTAATTTCCTACGTTCTATATTTCAACAACAAATAACGTACATGTTTGTTTTAGAATCACAACTTTGATGATGATTTCTCTTTCCAGCTTAATATTTGTGTTTCTTTTTATTGTTCTCTTATCATGTTAGGCCCAAGTTGGTTCTTATGAGTTTTAACTCCTGACTTAGATTTCAAGTTTATCTTTTTTACTTTCAAGGCTGTTTACTTTTTTATAGGTTTAATCCTGTTATTTGTTATTAATATGAGAACTCTATTCACAAATATAAATATTTCTGTAAATAAATTTAAACTTATGTTTTGAGTTTGATCACTTGATGAGTCTTTAAAACTCAACTCATGTCAACTTTTGTAGTAAAAAAATTAAACTTGCCTTGTGTACTCATTTTATTCATGATAATATAATAATATTTGATCTTTATATTAAAAAAAATGTAATAAATATAAATAATTTTAAAACACTTTATATATTGAAAAACAATAAAATGAAACGACGCTGAATTAGGCCTAGCTGGGATATAAATTTACTTATTTGGCCAAACTGGGTTAAACCGCCGGTGCAGGTGTGGTCGGATCGTTGTGGTGGCCGAGCGAACGAGCCAGAGAGAATGGTGAAAGAGATCGAAACTCTAAGCGAAGATGAAAGACGCGCACTTCGTGGCAGTAAATTCGCGCCTCTTCCTTGTCAATCTCGCCCTTCCAGCTCCCAGCCCAGGTTCTTGCATCCTTTTCTTTTTCTCCTTCAGATTCACGCTTACAAACAATCATGCTTCCATCGTAAGCTGTTGAACATATTTTGTTTGTTCAAAATGAAGATAAAAAGCTTTCGATCGAATTCTTCGTTTATTAATTCCTTTTTTCTCAGGTCCTTTAAGTGTTTGTTGTTCTGGTATTAACTTTGTGTTGCCGACTGCCTATATGTCCATGAAGGTTGGCTCATCCTGGTGGACCGGTGACCACAAACAAAGCGGCGGCATTAGCAAAGTTTCTTGAGAGAAAACTGAAGGAGCCTGATGGGCTGGCGTCTATCAACCCTGATCTTCTTGAACTCGCTGTCAATAATGCCAAACAGACTGTTTTTGCAAGTAAACCTTCGACTCTGCTTTTCTTTTAGTTTCCTTCGCGTTTTGTTTTTTGGAATTATTATTTATCCAAGGTAGGAGCAATAGTTGTGAATATGAAAATATTTCATAGAGTAGAATTTGCCTGAGTGGAATATTCTGATACGAACATGGATAGTTAATGGTAGTGCATTAAGTTTGGCTATAGTAATTGTACTGAGGGTGCTTGGTTTAATTGGTCAAGGGAGTTGAACTAGCTTGGTATGGGTCTCGTGTTTGAGTCCTAAAATATATAGTTGCATTAAATAAATATATCAAAGGTATTCTTGAGATACCTGTGAGGCTGCCATTGATAATAATGGTCCCACATAGTGGGGGTTTGATTTAGTTTGAGCCGGAGGTGGTAATACCCCCAAGTTTCCTAGGACACGGGCGATGGAAAAAAAAGAAGGTAATTGTAGATATTATATGACTGGTAAATGAGACACAAATGTGTTCTGTATTATATAATAGATTTTGTTTAGGATGCCATAAACATTGTTCTGTATTCATTTTATCTTTTAAGAAATGCATTCACTTCCATGGTTGTGAAGTGGTACATATAACTTCTGTCAATTTTGGCCTGTTTCTTTGGTAGAGGTGGATAAATAGACATCAATTTATGAATCATTTTGAAAATTATAAGATGTTTAGTAATTATACTGGATAAAATAAAAGATTTTCATATTTGGCATGCCATTACCAAACTTTTTGTTTTCGGCCAATGTTATAATCAACTTGAATATTAAATTATTGTAAGTACATTTTTTGTTACTTGAGAAATCCGATTGTCCACTCACAAAACATGACTTTGGGGTTTCATGATTGATTTTGTGCAATATTCATCAACAATAATTTTATCTGATTTTTAACAGCACGCAGTACATCAAATCCACAAAGAAGTGTCCGGCATGTAGACTCCTTTGGTGACACTGACTATGAGGTGGAGTGCTTGATTATACATTATTTCTAATGGTTTCTGAATATTTGTTCAGGCATATGCTCTTGTCACTTTCTCTAATTTGTTACTGATCTTGGCAGGATTCTGAAGATGAGAAGAATGAACCTTCTCAAGTGAAAAAATCAAAGAAGAAGAACAAGAAGAAAATAGGCAAAAAGGAAAAGAAAAAGCGAAAGGTCATTGCTTGGTGATTTGTTTTATTATTTGCGTGGCACTTCTTACCTAGTAAGTAACTAGATTTGTTTCGCTGCAGAAAGTAGAGGATCCAGGACTTGTAGTCAAAAAGCATAAAAAGAAGTTCAAATTTTGATTCATTCTGGTTGACAGCCATGGATGTTGAATCTGCATCCTCTTAACCGGCCCCATAGGGCATCTGACATGATTGCCTTGTGATTCAACGTTATACCAAGTTTCTTGTGGATTTCAAATGGAGGACTGAGGTCAGTGGATTTTTTGTCATGTGTTATTTCCTTCAAATGAGTCACAAGCAACGCATGGAGTCACTGATACAGCTTTGGCATATTGACTTCCCAGATCATTTACAAGATAAGATGATGAACTATTTATTATTTAGATTATTTCAGGGGTTGGTGGTGTTGGCAATGTTTTGGTAACTGTTCACAAATTATTACCTCATGATGATCCAAGATGCAGTGGAGCATATCATGTTACAGAAATGATATTTTAACAGTTTAAAGAACTATGAATGTGATTTTGGTTTCAATCTTAAGACATTAGACTGTAGACACCAATTGCTACATGAAATATACTTGCTTCAAAACCATGAATTCTAATTCTCGCCTACGTTGGTCTTAACTAGTTTGCAGTTTGAGACTTCCTATGGATATGAAGGTTAATCTGAATCAAATAAGTAGTCTCTCACTTGATTTTGGGGGCGTTTGGTATTTCTCTTGGAAAATTAGTTCTTTTCCATCATACGAAAAAGGAGGAAATATATAATATCTGTTGCACGCATGTTGTAATTACTTCACATTAATTGTCTCTGTTATTGCTATTTTTTTGTAATTTAGGAATATAAAGGATATTTTTAAACTATAACATTATTTTTTATATTTTATATTCTTAAAGCTGGACTGATGTTCTCTGTGCTGAGTAGAATGTAAATGCTGTGCGAAGATATCACATGAACAATTTGGATCCCTCTCAAAATAGTATGCTAGTACTTAGTAATGTGTCTTATGCAATTAAGACTTTGCAATTGTTAAACCCAACCAAGTGCTATGTAGATATTGTGTTGCACACAAATTTGGATACATATTCTAATAATAGTAAGGACTTAAGGTGCAAGATTGAGAGATGTGGATAAAATATAGCAATTTTATGTAGTGGCAAACAATACTCCTTTATTGTTTGTTAGAACTGCTTGCAATGAACATGAACACTCAACACAAGATGGCATGCAAGTGTCTCATAAGTTTGTTCATTTGTGCCAATGCTCGTCTAGCAAGTTAAATTGTTACTTCTGAATGCAATGTTTGGAATCCCTACGCTTGAGGAGAACTTTTTTCGTGAAGTAGGCAACAACTTTCAGGGTTAAAATATAATTAAATCTTCAAGTGATAATTTTTTTGTTTGATTCTTATGATTGTAATTTACAAAATTGCAAAGGATCTTGTAGGTCTTTATACTTTGATTGCATTTTGTTTTTAATCTTTATGTTTTTATTTCATTGTTCTTAGTTTATTTAGTTTGATTAGTTTGCAATGTTAATATTTATAGTTTTAAAATGTACATAAACTTCAAGAGCTAGCATTGACAGAAATAATTTCATTATAATTTTGTTAACTCCTTTATTGACATGGTAAAAATACGTTGATGAGATGAAAATAAATTGATTAGGTATGATTAAAAATAAAAGGTAAAGGGAAACAAGCTTTCTTTTACATCTGACTTTAATAGAATGTGGAAAATGAAGACAAGTTTAAGTACACATTAGCAATGAGGTTAGTAGAGTTAAGTATATGTTAATGAAATTGATTCCATTGGTGTCACCTCGTAATCCGCATATGCATTTTTGAAAAATGAAAATATCATTCAAGGATTGCTAGAGGCTTTTAATATATCAAAAGAACCAAAAGATACTTATGGAAACCAGAGAAATAATTTGAAAATAATTTTAAATGAAAAATGATTGTAATATCCTTATATTTTTTTAAACACCCTCCTCGGCATTGACCACCATACCACTATTGATGGCCAGCTATCGGATGATCGTCGGATTCTAATGGCCTATTAAATCTTCCAGGTAGACAAAGAGGGGTTTGAACCTGAGTCACTTTGGCTACCGAAAGGTTATAGAGCCACCAAGGCTCTTAATTATGTTATAAAAAATTTAATATATGTTGTCAATTTATTTTTCAAGTTTCAAATCATTTGCTTGTTTAAACGAGCATATATTAGTTAATTAACAAGTATATTTGTGCATTTAAGAAGCAATGGTATGACAATTAAGAAGTTAAAAAATTTGATAAGGCTTGATTGTAAGAAGGGATAAGTGTAAAACATGTTTTAATAAGCATATATTCATTAATTAATAAGTATCTATATGCATTTTGCAAGCAAGCATGTGTTAATTAACAAATTCAAAAATTTGATAGGGCTTGGTTACGAGAAAGGACAAGTGTAGGACTTGTTTTAACAAGTGTTCATTAATTAATTAACAAACATTCATGTTCATTTAACAAGTAAGTGTGTTAAGTGTCAACTTCAAATTTCAGACAAGGTTGTGGGAAAGAATAAGTGTAAAGTTTGTTTCAACAAGTGTACATTAGTTAACTAACAAGTAGCTCATGTGCATTTAATAATTAAGAGTGTTAAGTGTAAGTTACTTGTTAAGAAGTTCAAGCTCTGCCTATTACATTTTCCCTTCCTTATAGCTATTATATGACATCTATGCTGTAGTCAAATCTACAAGAAACAAATGAAATGTCAACCACATCAAGTATAGAACCTATATATATTTATACTCTATTGAACTCACCTATTGTCTTGTGAGACAAGTGCAAATTGGAAAATAAAGTTTTGGGCCACTTATCGGTTTCTTATCGGTTTCCCTCTTCTCCTAGAATGTAACATTAGATAGTGGATCATTGTTTGATAGTAATGGGTCAAGATGGTACACTGTAAGCTCCTTTTGGACAAAAGCATGGTAATATCAATGCTCATTTTTTATAACTGGAGTAAATAAAATGTCACAATCACTTATATTGTGCTTTTTGTTTTTTTGCTTCACAAATCTGCTATTGTCAGTAACTTTCCAATTGTCTAGGTCTTACAATATAATAGTCTTTTGACAATGGCAGCATATAACAAGTATTACTCATGCAATGAAGATCATAAAGTGTTCAAGTCTTACTATGAAATTTGATAGAAAAATATGTCGTCGAACATCTCCACTTTACTTTTGTTCATGTATCAGCATGTGGCTTATAAAACATACAACCTACAATAGAGATTTTCTATTAGCATTTCACAATACATGTACTTAAAGAGACATAAAATTCATCATCACTTGCAGTTTTACTTAACCAGCTTCTTGAACGAAAGCATTGCATTTCCTCCAACAAAGAATGAACCAATCTCAATGACTTTCTCCTGACCGACATCATTATTTATCTGCTATGTTATGTAGTGATAAAGACGCTCAGCCTCGCTTGGCTTGGCTGCCTTTCCAAAATTTGTCAAGTTTGGTGATTGTATCAAAGGTGTTATCACCCTTTGAGACTTCCTCAACTTACGATCATTATCACTATCATTATCAAAACCATTTCCTTGTGTACTTCCACCTTCATCATTAATAAAGGGAATTAGTTCCCTGACATCCACCACTGATTCCAAGTCTATGTTAATTGTTTTATAAACATTGTCCACTAGTTCTCAGTCCATATTAATTTGTTTCTTCATATTTCAAATTTATATTAATTGTTTTTGTATCATTTATATACTCATAATACTCTTTTCTCCCATATCCTCTATAATATTTCCCACCCTTATATCCAACAATACTCCCTTAATCATAGATCTTATAATATGGCCTTCTCTTTCGCTTTATCTTTCTCTTTTTCTCTCCCCTTGTGGTAGTCCTCCTTTGACTTGCAACCCTTGTTCCAATTTCACAAGTTCTGTTGCGAGATTATGACCAACCATTCGCATTATGTGTGAAAAAATTTTTCTAGTTTTTTTTTGGCAAATAAGATATATATAATGTCAAGCAAAATATTGTTACTTGTACAGTACAAAAACACACGTTTCACTCACCGGATGATTGAAGATTGTCATTGGAGGAATTGTTGGAGGAACCACATTGACTTTCACATCTTGATTTGTACCAACATAACAACATAGAAGCCCTTGCAGATTGGACTTCTTTAATTGAACAATCTCATTCACTTTCTCATCATTTCAATATATAAGTGGTTTATCTCGTGATGGTGGCGCAACATGAAGCATTGGAAACTCTTCAAACAACAATATCTATATGAAAATAGAAACAACAATATATTGTGATTTGATTCAAATTCAAATTTATATTTTATTATTATTTTTTTATAATTTTAAATTCTTTCTAAATCTTTCTTATTGAAATTTCAATTACCCCAATTCTTCTTCTTTTTTTGTTTTCATTAACATTACCTGTATTATTCTCGCCCCTCATCTCATATCTCTTGTTATTTCTCACCAATTGAAAAATAAAGATAAATTCATTACTTCAAATCTTTAGTTTTTACATCAAATCCTGACTTATTTCTCTTCTACCCTTTTTTCACACTATTCAAATAAAAGAGTTTAAATATATGAATTTTAAATGTAATATTCAAAATTTAAAATTCAAATTCAAATTCAAATATATTAATACAAACACTAATTAAAAGTTTCAAACCCACCAAAGCATTAATTTTGACCAATTCAGCTTAGTTCGATCAATTTTTTGGGGTTAAATGTCAATTTGACCCTAAATTATAGGTTCGGGAGCACTTGAAACTCTAAATTCTTTTTTTGGTATATAATTATTCTTCAAATTTTGAAAATCATGCAATATCATTTTTATTATTAATAAAAGTTAACTTTAACTATTAGTTAATCAGAAAATAATTTTTAAAAAAAGATCTCAAAACTTACAAAAAAGAACCCGAGAAATTTTCATGGACATTTTTTTTTTGTAATTTTTAGATCCTTATCTATAATTTTTGGCTCATTTTCTATTATTTTTTATCTACTAACAATCAAAGTTAACTTTTTGTTAACATTAAAGGAAAATTGTACTATTTTAAAAGTTAAAGAAGAATATTGTAGTAAAAATGAGTTTAAAATATATAACGCTCTTGAATTTAAAGTTTAGAACCAAATTACCCTTAACCCTTTTTTTTGGGGGGGGGGAAGGGGGAGAATCAATTCTAAATTGTGTCCTTGTGAGACTACAAGCCGATACTATAAGCTAATTCCTAATCCAACTTGTTAAACCGATTGTTTTGATCTAATTTTGACAATATTGATCTCTAACCAATCTACACTATCCCAATATTAATTTGTCTATTTAAAACATACATTTAAAATTGTGTAGCCACTTGGTGAGCTTAAAGCTGATAATGTGAGTTGAGCTTGTAGGCTCAACCTGTCAACCCACAAAATAGTGGCAGATTTAGTTGGAAAAAATGAGTTCATTTAGATGCGAGACAGTTTTAACTCGCACCGTATAACTTGAATATGCAAGCTGTGGATTAACCGCATCTTTTTTAAACTTTCCAATCTTACTTAAAAACAATTTGTTTTTCCACATGTTTTGAGCTTGGAAAGAAATTCTTATTCCAAAAAAGAATATACATGTATGGAAGTAAAACAACTAAAAACAAGTTGACAAAGAGCTTATTTTGTTGTCTTTGGTTTTATGCTCCAAGTCCAATGTCTTTTTGGGTCATCATTATTTTTCCCCTTCTGAATATATAATTCATTACAAAATTTATCTTTCTTCCCCTATTTTTGTTTTTGTGATAATCTGGGCATTTTATCATGAAGTGTTATAGAGTTTACTTTGTTATTAATTTTTCCATTGCAAAATTTATCTTCAAGTTTTAGATTTTAACTTTTTACTATGTTTGTTTGTCATGGAATATATATATATATTTTTAGATTGTATTAATATATTTTAAATTTGTATTTTGTTTTTAATGAATTAGAAAGACTTTTATTGTTATTTTAATAATTAATTTTTAAGAAAAAAATATAGTTTTTTACCATAAAAAATAATAAAAAGCGGTGAATTTATAATTTTTAAAATTTAAAAAATTATTTTAAAAATTTTTTACTAACAATGACTTGCCAACCCATTGCGAGCTAGCAAAAATACAACCCTATCAGGATGTGAGTTACGCCAACCCATCCTACAAAGCTTGCAACTTGCTATAAGCAAACCTGCAACCCATAGGTTGGCCCTATTACCAACTCTAGACAAGCCCCATATTGTCTTAAACCATAAAGATGAGTTGAGTCAGAAAAAAAAAACACAAAAAAATCATGAATACCCTCACCCTATTTTTATATCTCAAAATTAATAATGAGATAAAATATAACAAATAAAGATTTTTGGTTGCTAATATTTTAAAACCTCATAGTATTCTTTTATCTTTAAAAATAGTTACATTTTTTCAATATAAATCTTTGATATTTGCATCATTATATAATAAACTATTATTATATATGACAAGATATTTCCACCTTAAAGCTATCTTTTAATCTTTTTGAGAGTAATCCGATTTTTAATACCTTAAATAAAACATCTGTGATTAAATCTCGCTGTCAATATAAGAACCTTGCTGTTGGGCAATTTGTAAATATTTCTATAAATACTCTTCTAGGTTGGAGGTATACCCTGTCCCTGGTGAGCTCTTGGGATCCAACTCACCTAAATTTTTTTCATTAAAAAAAAAAACTTGAGGAAAAGAGGACACCAAGGTGTAATTTTTTTTTTTTACCACAAGAGAGATCAAGCTGTTATCTACATAATAAAAACACACATGTAATACCAACACTAGCATTCACGTGTTTTATCAAATACATGGATACCCCATGGTTGGTTAATCAAGTGAGATTGCTGAGAGTCGTAAAGATTTACCAAATGACAAGAAATGGATTTGAAGCTAGGTAGTTTGGGTAGGTATGAGTGCCAATATCTGATTTCTGATGACATCCATGCATTTCTGTATCTCTCCATATATTGGAAGATTCTTTGAACAAAATGGCTGCAAGCTTGTGACTGCAGAATCTAGCACGTGAGCAACATCGGCAGGTGGGAAATGTCTTTCTGTACATTTCTGTTATTTGTTTTACAGAGATGGGTCAGGGTGCAGGTCAAGAATTTGCAATAATAACAGTAATAATAATCAAAAGTACCATGTAGTCCTTAATGCAGTAACAATCACTTTCTCAAAAAGTAGAGTGGAACCAGACAAGAAATAATTGGATGCATCTTAATAATCCCAAATGACATTAGTAAAAAAACAAACAGTTAGGTACCACAAATGAAATGCGTTTCTTAGAGTAGCCAATCCTACTTTTTGTTATTTTTGATGTTTTGTTACATTAGGAGAGTTGTCATAGTCACAACCTACACCTCATCTCACCCTTGATCACTTGAGCTTGTTCCATGTGGCTTTTTGCTATAATTTTGATTGACTAGGAAAGAGTATTTTACTTTTCATGCTATCATATGTGTTTCTAATTTCCAGAACTAGAAACTCCAGCTTCATCATACACAATAAGGGAGTTTCAATAGTTAGCTAATAGCTGCTATCTTACAGGGATCCTGACCCAGGACACAGTAGCCCCCTAAAGAGCCCCAAAAATTCGTGAGAAAATCTGAGTTAACTAGAAAAATATAGGACATGCGATAATTAGCAGTAACCACAAACCACAAAGTTTGGTATTCTGAACCAGACTTGCTCCTCTAGGCCATCCCCCTCTAAAAATGATTTCATGTCTCAGATCTGATCATTCCATCTTCTTCCACATGGTCTGCTACCAGATAGGATTCAAGGAAACTTTGCACTCTGTATAACAGAACTGAGGTGAATATTCCTCTCTCTGTCACTTGTAAAAACGACAAGCTCATTTGAGGATCTTCCATGGATGGTAGCTATAGAGCAAAGGAGGGATTTAAGAGAGTTCTAGAGGCTATCTTCCAATAAAATTTGGAGTTTTATTTGGAAAATTTGGTTGCCTCCGAAATATCTCCTACTCATTTGGAAGTTGCTTCATCAGTCTCTACCTATTGGAGAGGTCTTGCAAAAGCATCATATCAATTGCTCCATTAATTGTCCTCTTGGATGCAGTGAGTCAGAAACAATCAATCATCTTTTCTCACAATGCCATTTCACTAGAACATTATGATTTGAATGCTTGCTCCTGAGATCTAGACTTTGGGGAAAATGGTCTTATCTCATGGTTACTAGAGGCTCTTCCTAAGCTTTATCATGATAATATCTCTCAATTGGTATCATCATATTTCTCAATATGATCAGGCAAACTAGAAACTCTATAATATTCATTATGGACAATCTCCCCAACCACATCGTTTCGTATGTTTTTTTGGATTCTATCTTCAAGTGGGGTGCTTATAATTGCACTCAATTGCCAGGTCCCAAATTCAATCACAATAACCTTTTGGTTATTAATGGACTACATGGATGAAGAAGATTAAATCCAAACACTGCTAAATGTTCGATCATCCTTCAACTTGCCTCATCCACCCTGCTTAATGTTCAATTCTGGAAATCAACTGTAATATCCCATTGTCCCATCAAGCTGCGTTGAGAATGGCTCTTTGGTGGATCCTGAATTATTGGCCCTACTTCAACTGCCCAATGAATCATCTCATCAAACATTTCGTGAAGAAAAAAAATTATCTCTGCAAACTTCCTCAGTGGCTCGGCTACCAACACAGTTGTTGAAGACCTCCGCACCTTAATCAATCTCTTTTCCAGCCATAGGATTTTGACTTCTAATGATGACTCCATTTTCTGAATTCTGAGCATAATTTTTCTCCTTGGATATTTAATTCACGTATTTTATTGACATTTTATTGTTAATATAATATTTGCTTCCTTTAAAAATAAAGGTGAAAACAACTAAACATCCACAACAATGGAGGTGAGACTGACCATATGCAATGTTTATGGTAAACGGTAAATTGAAGAGCCACTAGACGTACCTGGATCATCAGCAATGTAGCTAGACATTGAGAAATAAGTTCCGAGGGAATTTTCACTTCATTTTGATCAGATGAGCTGTTTAGTTCAGGATCTTGTAAATGACTACTTGGCAGAGGATTTGATTTACTTGCAATCATCTGATCCTGAGAAACTAGTGTGGCATGAACAGAATCTGTGGGCATGAATTGCGAGGATGGAGCAGCATGGTCATCCACTGAAAGCCGATTATTTATAAAATTAATTGCCTCCTCAATTCCTTCAACCTTACTCTCTGTCTTACTAAAAGATGACATCGCCTGCAATAATTGTTATGAGAAACTACAGTCAGATCCGGAAAATTGATAGTGACATGACTCCTCAAGGATTAAATTAAAATTGAAAGTGAATCATCTAGCAGCTGGTCACCAGTAATTCAGCATACAAACTGGTGTAAAATGTTCACTTAAAATTATTGAAGTGCTTCTAATAAACAAGAAATTGACTTGCGCTCTAACAATCTATTGATCAACTCCTTAATAATTGGTGAGTCAATCATCCAAATGAATCTTCAAATATGGTGATCCAACCATCCAATGTCATCAGTGGTGCAGCCAAAGGATAATAACACAAAATTTCAAGTATTTGGCATGACCAAACATATTACACAGTAAAGGGCTGAGCGAAGTTTAGTGTTAAGTTCACTTTAAATATGTAGTGCAAACACGCAGTAATTATTCACAAAGTGGGTAACCTTTCTATACCTGCATAGCTGCACCAACCATTGTACGGGCTCTTCTTTTAGAACTTTCAATAATTTCAGCTATATGAGATTGACAATTTTGGTTGTGAGAAGCTGAACAATACGAAGAACTAGCATGACCACCAAGATCATCCAAATTAGCTGTGGGCCTTGGTCGTAAATTAGAGTTCCCCTGATATGTGTTATGCTGTCTCATGCAAAACAAGGCAGAAGAGACCTGCACAAATGAAATCCACTCATGAAGTTGCAAGTCGTTGAAAATGGGCGGAAAGAAAGATGAAACGAACTTAATTGTGCAATTGAGTGTTAATTATTCCATGAATTCCATGCCTGCTGGTTCACTTCATTTAACTGCAACAATGCTGCAGCATAATGCCTCTTAAACGGCTCTGAATCCTTTAAAGAGTGGTCCCCATATTTCCGTCTTTCACATGCCTCATCATTCATTTGCTTCAGTTCAGACAGCACAATTTCCTTCACAGACATAAGCTCATTGCTTCAATATTATAATAGGAATATTTGAAACGCAGATATTTTTCCTTTGTCATAATTATTCATTAGGGAGTACCTTTTTGTGAAGAGCACGAGCCAGCTCAAAAACAGCATTTGTGCCAGCTTCTTTGGATGGAACATGTTCATGAAAAAAAGCTTTAGAATTTGCTGACAGTAAGGCATTACCGATCTCATTGCAAGCAACATTAGCCTGCAATTTGGAACTTGAAGAGATGCCCTGGAGACAAAATGAAAAGAAAAGAAACGGACAAAGTAAACTACTCAGGAAACTTTGGCAGGACAATATAATATTAATAAGTTGACTCTACAATACGGCTAGAAGAAACGTCAACAGAAACCAATTTGTTCAAATGAGAAATAAAAGAGATTGATTCCATATTTTCGTTCCCTAAGAAACACAAATGTTAGGACAGAAAAGTTGTGAGTTGTCCAAGAGAAACATTTTCTTGGAAAACAAGAAACAGAAAAACATGCATAATCACTATGGGGCGCCTGATGGAAGGATTAAATTATGAGTGCTCCTTTGATATATGAAATGAAAGGGAAAATACAATGAAGTGATTTAATAATGAAAAATAAACCATGAGTCCCTACTTTAAAAAAGGAAGAAAAAAAAATAAAGTAGATAATGACTACATAGGTATAATAAACATTACCAGAAAAAAAAAGTAATGAGAATTTATTCTCTAGCACAAACCAAAAGGGGCATTAGTTTTCTCAACCCAAAAAAAAGAAAAAACCTTAAAAATCTTTAGAGTTTTGATTTTATGGCATTAGGCTACCTGAAATCCCGTTCATGTTTACAAATTATAAATTTGTGCATTACTATACTATATTAAGCACTATCGTGAAAATAACGATCATGGAAAAGTAATACTGGTGCACACATGCATGATATTAATTAATGTTGTCAAAATAGGGGAAATGGAGGCAAAAGACGTCAGGTCAGTAAAAAGGCAAGAGATGAGAGCAGGTACAAAAATAACAGAAGCACAAAGGACAGGCGGGTATGTTGGGCTCGTGCTGAGTAGTCACCAAGACTGACCACAGAGCATTGACGTATAAAACGAAGTGTACCAATTCTATGCGACATCTGATATCCTATATGGGGAATTTCTTTCTCATGTAGCCAGTTCTGAGATATTAGAATAGGTTGTATCATATTGTGGTGCAAAAACCTATTAGCACAAATTGGCATCAAAAGGGATTGAAAAAGTCTTATCGCAAGACTCAGTATTTTCCTATTGCGCAATATTCAGCCATAAATAATCGAATTAAAAGCTGGATACACTAATCCTATTTCAGCTCCAAGCATGCATTAAGTCAAAATTACTATATGAGCTGATCTCTACACTCTGAACACAGTTAACCACTCTTGTTTAAAATTCCCGATTGGAAATATCCTTACAAGGAGTTCACCAAATTTCTGTTTAAACTAAACTCTATATTGGTTAAAAAAACTAGTTTCTTTTAAGGAGTCATTTGAAGAGAAAATAGTCTTCTGATAAGAGTTTTTACAAATGTATACTTCAAAGTATTTACAACCATAAGATAAAACCCAAAGAAACTACATTCCGTCTGAATATACATTTGTACCTGGTTCAATAAACTTTTGACGCCATGAGCTGAGGGGGGTATATAAGGAGCATCAACATGATCAAAGTTCTCGCTAGGGAACAATATCCTGTGCTCCTCAATCTTTCCTTGTTTCAATTTCCCATTAAGCTTGAACTCAATAAGGTTGTCATCTAGTTTATCTGGAATCACACTGCGCCTTATCAGAGATGCTGGCATATTTTCATTAGGATTCAGAGGCATGCAGTCAATATCCTGCCACATGAAAATACTTTTGTGACATTATTCTTTTGTTACTGAAAATTAGAAATAATAGGACAAGTTTATAAAAATAAATAAATGATAGGGCAAGGGGTAAAGCTGAAGAAAAGGTTGGTTGAGAAAATTCAGTGAAACAGCCTTTACAATTTGTGATTATGCATAGAATAATCATAGGCTATAAAATTCATTATCTTTTACGTGTCCTGACACATATTGATGGTATTTCAAGATGTTAAAGAAAAATGAGTCTTCGTGAAAATAATGTAGGGTTTTCCATTTTGAGCATCCAGCTCATACATGATACATGACCAATGTTCTGATTTCCCACGTTGATTAAAAAGTGCAGATGAGTTCCTTCAGGGTTATAGTCTCTTGAACTACAATAAGAAAAAATATACTCTCATGTAGCTATACTTCAAGTGGCATAGCTACCCATATAGAACTACTATAATAAGTACAAGTGTATAGCCTGAACTATCATGTAAGAGTCTCACAGTCTCTACCAGCAGATAGCAATCTCTGAAATTACCTTGTCAGTAGTTGTTACATCAGCTACTTTATTATGAGCAATCAATTTTACATCCTAGTTAAATATAAGAAAATGTTGATTGTGGTTTTTAAGAAAAATAGATATGTGAACACTGTCTAAGGCTAACTCAAGTGATAAGGGTAAGAGATGTAGGTGGATCTTGCCTCTAGTGCAAGTAGTTGGTGTTCGAAGGCATCAACTTTTCTCCTGAGCACACTGGTTCTATTTTTTTAAAAAAAAAATTGCTTTATTTAAATACTTATTATATTTAATTATTTAGTTATTATTTATTGTTCCGTTACAGATAAGAAAATAATCCCAGGAAGATAAGATAGGATTTCTAATTGAATAAATGAAGTAGTGTGAGCAACGAATACCATGATAAATTCAACCCCCAGCTCAGGCTGGTCAAACTGAACCTGACACCTACAGTTGTCAACAGTTAGTACGCTTCCATCTTGAATCTCTCTCGTCTTTGGGTGAATAGCAATGACACGCTGTCCAACAATTAACGGCCTGGCCAAATCAGTTGGAAGGCCTTCCCTGGTACCAGCAAGAAGTTCTGCATAATGTGCCCTAACAGAGTCCCGGTATTGATTTAACTTTGTTTTTTCTTCTACCAAAAATTGCTTAGAAAACCTCCGAGGTCTGCCAAGAGAACTGCACAAGAGTAACAAATACATGAAATATTTTAACAAGAATGACAGGAAAGTCTAGCAGCAAATGCAAGTACAATTAATCATGCCAGACAAAATACCTCCTAATGACCCCCCACTCAATACGAGTCAGTCTAGGAACATGCCCCAATCCAACATGGTCCAAGTACTCCATGAACTCCATCTTTGCAAACCATGGGTAATCTATAGCACTGTAAAACCACTCAAAAGTGCACCATCGCCGAATTTGATGTGAAGACAGGCAATGAATAAGCTTTTCCTGCAATAATGGAAAAACACAACTTTGAAATCAAAGATTGAAATATTCAGCCAACATCTATTCACATAAATGAGGGGTAACCAACCTTGTGTCTCAATACGCTGTTCTGGAGAATGGATTTAATATGTTGACCACTAAAATTATTTTCTGACACCTTTCTATCTTGTTGTATCATTGGTTTTGGTTTTTCCATCTTCCGCCTATGCCTTCCTTTGGTTGCTAGACCCGCTTTGTCTGTAGGTGAAACTTTTATGGGTAATAGCAGCAAATCATCCCTTCCTCCTTTGTCATCATTACTTGAAGACATCATTCCTGGGGGTTGTACCACCTTTAATTGTCTTGAATGTGGTGTAGAAATAGAAGAGCGCTTACCCTTGGCAACAGACTTTGTCACGTTGTCAGTAGCCTGCAATGATGTTGGTACTATGATACTATAAGTGGCCATGCGGAAATAAAGAAAAGGTTGTCAAGTTCAATTAGCAAGGAACAAAAGCTCATCACCTAAACAAAGGTTTGATATTACAAATGTAATTCATAATAGATGAATGGCAAGAAGTTTGGTTGTCTACTAGTGACAAAATCAGGAAGAAAACCAACCCAAAAAAAATGAACCTTAGCCCCAATCAACATCGATGTTACAACATTGGATCAAAAAAAAAAAAAAAATTCCGTCACAACATGAGTCTTAAATATCTTTTGTGCGAAAAATAAATAAATTCCATGTAAAGCAAATCTTATCTTTATATTCATCATAATGAAAAAAATTACCTCAAACTTGAACATCCACTAAACAAAAGTTAGGTACTGAGACTTATTGCACAACAGTGCAAAAAGCCACAAACGTATGCAAATAAGTGGTCAATCAACACTAACAAGTACACCAACATGTGTGCACAGGTGTGTGTGAACTATAAATGCTTGGTAGGGTTCTTGCCTAGAGCTAGAGGGATGAAATATAACCCTAGGAATAGAAGCAATCAAAAGTACTCAGTTAACTAAAAACTCTGAACACAAGCACAAAATCAATGGATCAAACTTCCAACAATTAGGAACAATGAGAAAAGGTAATAAGGAAACAAAACATTATGTACAAGGAAAAGATATTGATATGTGATATTATTATTCTCCATACGTTCCAACCCCAAATAAAAATAGTGAATTACAAGTAGTATTATTGATAAACTATTCCAAAGCGAAATAGAAAGCCTTCCTGATATTGCATGCAACGTTGTCACTTATTATACTCTGTCCAACATATTGCAGCTATCTCCAAGATTGGAATCAAGTGAAGAACTAAATTACATTGAAAAATGAACTAAAATTTCAAACACTTGAGATATACTTAATATATTGGCAGCAATAAGCAAGGCCCTTGCTCAGTAGAATATTAAATGTCAAACATCAAATAAGAAATAAAGAGAAATGATAGCTATTTAAAAAACAGAGCCTCTAGTGTTTCCAACTTTGAAAAGGTTGCATTGTGGTCCCTCTAGATTTAGTGTGTATTTGATGATTTGACAATTTTTTTTGCTGACATGTTACTATCTTTGTTTATATAAATGATGAGGCATGCATCCAGTCAGCAGAAAGAGTGCCACCCCAGCAACATAAATTGCACCAATTTGCCAATTTAAAGGGATGCCTTGTTCAAATTGATACTATAGGTACCAAATTGCAGCTTCTTAAATGCAAGGGGGACAAAAACTGTAATTAAGACAAAAGGGGTAAAAAATTATTTTAAAAGAAAAACTACAACTCAAGGCTAGAAGTTTATTGACTCTTACTTTCAATATTGAAGATGTTTGTCTTCTTTTCCTCTTTCTAGCATCAAGGTGGAAGGCGCCTTCTTCTTGAGGAACAAAAACTCCATGATCAGAAGAAATCAAACCCAGTTTACTTAAAGCAGTGCTTTCATCACTCAAAATTGCATGATCGGTTTCCACTTGAGACTCATCAACAACTCCTTGGCTTTCTTCCATCACCCGAACAGGTGACTCTAAACACACAGAAGACAACATATCAAAGGCTCTAAATTTGAAGTATGATGAAAGCAAATAGGTCTTTGTAAACAATGCCAAATTATAAACTGAACGTAGGAATTGTATAAATAACCAAAAGTATACTGCATGAACAAACAATGATAAAGGGCACAGAAAGATATAATAAAAAGGAGCCAAAGTCTAAGGAAAAAAATTGACTGGGAAAAGCAGGAAAACCATGAGACCATGACCTTCCCATGGTTGCCTTAGCTTCAAATCCGTGGGCATTCAATGCATCCTTCAGCATGCATCCTTGGTGTGACCTACTTTATGACAATGGTCATAAATAGCTCATCATATCTACAGGATTTCCATCAAACCCATAGGTGCCGCAAGCAGCTCACTTGAACAGAGTGAGCTGCCTCCTGCCTTCTTCATATCTAACATTGGTGAAAACTTTAAGGACTGGTAGGAGTCGTGTAGCCATAATTCTTCCCCTAACCTCATTAAACTTAATACTCAATCCAAGTAACAAAAAAAGGAAAAAAACTTAGCTGCATTCTTTTTCCAAAACCCTGCATCAGTCACCCATCATTGGAGTTGATCCACTCATAGATCTCATAGTGTTGAAGTCACTGCCAATACTTCATCAAGGCATTGTAATACTGGTTACCAAGGTATGACCCTGTTTCAGATTCCTTAAGAAGCCTTTAATCTAAAACAGGGCAGCAAAATTTTCCACCTTCAAATAAGCATCTCAAATACCATCCCAGATTTTCTTGGCCGAGACAAATGCTTTTCCAATGAAGTTATCATAGAATTGACCAACCATAACATCCTATTATTATTTTCAACAAACCAAGTCATGTCTTTTGGGTCAGAAATGGCAGGGGCAGCATCTTCTCCAGTGAGATATTATAGTTTTCCGAGGCCCCAATGACCATCAAGGCAACTTCAGGACCAAACAAGGTAATTGTTGCCATTAAACTTATGGCCCATGATGATGAGGAGAAGTTCCAGCTATGGAGGATGAGTATCTGTTTGGTGACATGTCAGGATCAGTTTGGCTTCTCTACAGATAAAACTAAGACTCCATATTAGCTTTAAATTTAAAATTAAAATATCACTCTCTCTTATTTGTATAAAGAGAGATAGATAAATACACAGATCTGTAGGTGATTTGCTTTCATAGAGAAGACTGCCTATGATGGGACTGGGTGGCTGTGAAATAGAAGACAACTCCTCTTGAGAGCTGGAGTGATAAGCTCTCATGTTGCTGAACTAGATCACTGGATTTACTTGGGCCCTGAAGGCCATAATAGCATGAAGTAGACCAGAAAAACAGTGCTGGCTTTTTGGTAGGTGTAATTTTTAGGAGATTCAAATTAGTTAGTCAATCAGAGTTAGTAACAGAAAGAAGGAAGTTAGTTAGTTTTAATAAATAGAATCATTAAATAGCCTCATAACAGAAACTGGAGACAGCTTTGACAGTTAATGAATTCTGAGTTCATTCTTCCATCCATCTAATCTCTTCTATTCCTACTTCTTTCTCACCTGTCAATTTTTTTCTTATTTTCATCCAGATAAATCAATCCTGATAGAAGCACAATATAAACATTGACTTCTTGGACAAGAAAGAAAATAATAAAAAGGAAACAACATAAAAAAAGGTAATGAACGGAGAATTGTAAGAAAACACTCAGAATGCCCAGCAGTAAACAACATAGTCCTAGCAAGATTCTAATTTACTTGGAAATCACCCTTGTGAGGAAGAAGCAAAGAATAATTAGATGAAACGGCATGAAAATATTGGTCCAAACTTAAATGTCATACCGGTGTCAGGGTTTGCAACTGGCATCATCAAAGACAGATCAGCCAAGGCATTCAGAGCATCAAAAGAAGAGCCTTCATCTACAAATAGAGGCATCAAGAGGAAAAAAAAATAAATGTGTGATAACAACCATGCTTCAAATCGGAACCAAAGTGCACACTTTAAGGGCAGAGCCAGAAGAAAAGTAAAACATGAAGACAAACAAGTATTAACCAGATGGTGGAAATATAAACAAAATGTAAAAATATTCTCATCCAAATAAATTTTATTTCTTGCTATCAAAAGATAATAGATAACTTTGAGTTCTGTCAAGAAGGGTAGAGGAAGACCGAAGAGAACACTTTTAAAGGTTGTTGAGCAAGACCTTTTAATTAACAATATTTCTAAAAGCTTAATAAATGATAGAGCACAATGGCGTCATATAATCCATGTAGCCGAACCCACCTAATGGGATAAGACTTGTTGTTGTTGTTGTTACTATTGCTATCAAAAGATAAGTAGATAAAATTTATCGTCCATTTGATTGGAGGGGAAAGGAGGGATTTTATTCCCCTCCTTCATTTGGTTCAAAAAAATTTCCCTCCCCTCCAAAAGTGGGGGAATTTGGAGGGGAGGGGTGCAGCCCCATTTATTATGACTAAATTAACTTCATTATTTAAAGATATTCTTGTATTGCCCTTATGTGCAACTTAATAAACTCACCTTCACGGGTAATTGCTTTATCTTTCTTCTGAATTCTCTGCTCACACGGATAACAATGGCATTTGTATATTCTTTCAGTAACCAGACCACAAATTCTTTGATTCCCCTCTCATCTCCTCAAGGAACAAATAAAAAAAATTAAAAAAAGGACAAAAACTATATATCTTTTCCCAGCACTTAAGATGGACAATTCACTGTCACTAATAACAAACAAGAAAAAAAGTATATGTTATGAATACTCCTTTTTCTAAAAAAATACAAAAAGATCTATTCATTTATTCAGCCAACCACGTCATATACATGCACACCTGTAACTTTCAAATATAAGCAAAGCACCATGTTTTCAATACATTAAAAAAACATCAATTAAACGTTAACAAAAATAAATAATAATACATTTGTTGTTTTTTTATGTATTTTTTAAAAATGCATCAATAAAAAATTTACAATAAATATTAAAAATACAGTTATTTTATTTTTGTAATATATCATAATTATATATTATTAAACATTTATAAAATGAGAGGAAACAACTTAAATGTAATAGGTGTACAACTGTCCGTCTATTATTATTTTCCCTCCCCTGGTCTCCATTTCTAAACCAAAGAAGGGAATATTTAAATCCCTCCCTTCCCCATTGTTGAACCAAGCACTGTGTTAAGGAGAGTAACATGCTAGAAGCTATTTCAGGTAAATCTATAACACACTTTGACAATAATATCACCCTTCATTATCAAAATGCAAAGGGAGATAGAAAAAGAAGATACTTCTCAAACTTACTTCCCCATGTTACTTAAACATCAACAAGAACAAAAGCTGAGACTGCTAGTATTCAAAACATATGAGAAGCCACATGAATCTCATTCACTTTAATCTGAACTCATGCATGCCAAGACATGGCTATCTAGTTCAACACAGTGACTATATTAAGCTATTAATAGCCCCAGAAGCCTGGCCTAATATACTAACATCACATATACAAACAGAGACACGCTAAATGTATTAATACCTAATATCAAAGAAGCGGAAGTAATACAAATTCAGTTCTTGCAATCTTAAATACTTGTTCCAAATTCTTACCTAGCAAATGAACTAACAACTAAGCCCATAAAAGGCAAGTAGTGCTTGTATTGTATTATCTCAAGCAAAAGGCCAAACTTAGCTCCCGTTCCAAATATTTGGGGAAAACAATAGAAATCTTATAGAACAAAACAGAAGATTTAACAAAAATATTAGTGAGATAATATAACAAAATACCATACATTTCTCATTATTTTCCTATTTCTTAATTAAATAAAAAAACATTCATTCATACGATGAAAGCAATACTTCCATATTAATCCACTGATTAAGAAGTTAGGCAACATATTCAGGAGTATGAGATCCTCTGTTCAATAAAATATACGGCATGCTCTGAGCAGAATTTAAGTTAGAAATAATAAGCCTACTTAACAGCCGCAAAAGGGAAACAACTTAATTAAGGAAATAATTGGAACTACAAAAATACCTTTGAATTACAAAAAACTGAGCCTACCTTTTTTTTCAAGCAGTACTTTTCTACTTTCCTTCCTGAGACTCTTGAAAGAGGACCTAGCACTTTTGGTGCCAGCAAAATTAGTGTCTATTTTATACTTGATTAAATCCAGTCCTTTATCTTCATCTGTCCCACTGGAAGCTTCCTTTACATCATCCAAATGCTTATTCACATTTCCTTTGAGTTCGAACTTTTTTCTGCAGTATTTTGTTCCCTTTTCTTCATGTTTTCCTCTTCTGGCATTCACTCTGTTGCTCCGTTGATTCAGTTTTCGAGAATAATCTCCGTTGCCACACCCCGTGCTTCCTAAACTCAATTCAGAGGTACCCTCATTCAAGTCAGAATGGCAAAATTTGGATGCTGCTGCTTCTGATTTAGTGTGCTGAAGAACCATGATTGCCCACAGTTAATTGGTTCATCTTCAAAAATATCAGATAATACAACTGGACAAACTGCATACCTTCCTCTTGTTATTCTGACCAGGTGATGACATAATGCCCTTAGATTTATTGTTTGGCGATCTAGAAACTTTGGAAGACCCGCCTACTTGTGAAGCCTCTGTCAGTGCTAATGCAATCTTATGAGCAACATCATTACCGTCGACCATTTTCCTGGAACCTTGCCTAGCTGGTGAAAAACGCTTTTCACCAATATCCTTACCAATGGAATGTGAAACAGGGACACGGGGAGTTCTTTTGCGAACAGCATGAGAACTTATTCCTTAAAACAAAACCCCAAATAACAATAAATAAAAAAATAAGAGCCTTGATAGAAGTCGCTTTCAAATATAAAAGTAGACACTATTAGAGGAGAGGCAGTCTTTCCAGAAATTCAGGAGCTAACCAAATAATGAAAACAGAAGAAAATTTGTGCCAGTGTATGTGCATCTGACGTGTTTCCAGCAGGAGAAAATATTGTTCTTCCTCAATCTTAATGTAAGAATTGATTTTTAAAACCAAACACAAGTTGAAGCAAGAGAGTGGAAAATGAATCAAAGTAATCTTCATATGCATTTAGAATATCAACCCACCAGAATGCCTCTTCTTCAACAATGACAGGCAACCATCACCTGATAGAACTGAATGTGACTGAGAATGATCTGAAAAATGTCCATCTAATGCTTTATAGTTGCCATCTGAACATTTCTGCCGCGAAAATTTTGGAGGCTTTGTAAATGCTTCTGTTTCTTCGTTGGTTTCTTGTCCACTATCACTTCCTCCCTTCCAATTAAAACATCCATATTACATTTGCATTTGAACCTTCCAAAAATTTGCCCATTACCCATTGCAAATCACAAACATTTTATAAAGTACACATTTTTTTCTAAATGTAACGACACTAGCAATACAATTTATGATCTTATGAGTGATCTGTTTATCATGGTATGGGAGGGTTGACAGATCAGTAAGCTTATTGGATAATAGCCCTACACAATTTTCAATAAGTAGGCAACCCTCGTATATTAAAAATACTAGAGGAAAACAAAGAACTTGTTAAATAAACTGAAATACAGGGTGAGAGAATTATCTATACCATAGCTGGAGGCAAGAACAGTCAGGAAACAGAACCACTCAAACCAGCCACAGGAATGTTACAGAAAAAGTAATGCCTAGTAAATATTCAATGTAGCTTTAAATTGAAGTTCAAGCTTACCAGTACATTATAATGATCCGTCATCATTGCTATGAGTCCAACCACAGAAGCAGTGCCCTCTGGAAGAGACAAGTATGCCTGAAAATAACCCAGAACATTCTTGGTTTAAAAACAATATACCACATTAATCCATTCCATCAAAATGTGATATTATACATCACCAAATAAACCAAACTAGTGAAACTTAATTAAAAAATGAAACAATTTTTCTCTACAAAACGCATCACAGGAGGATTCCTTTATCATCATAGAGGTTCCCGTAAAGCAATATCTCCTTCTTGTACATCATTACCTACTTCATTTGCTATGAAATTTGAATGTATAAGCTGCTTGCCATCAATTAGATCTAGTTGTTTTCTTGTTTTCTAAGTAAACCTATAAATTTTAAGAGAAGAGAAGAAAAGAAAAAATAACATGCCAGGGGCATAATATATGAGATAAAACGTAACTATATATCAGGAACAAAAATATTAAAATGAAAAAAGTGTTCCTATTTTTCTTTTTAATAAACAAAGAAATAGAAATATTCAATTTCATCAGCTCATTTATTTCCGTTTCATATAATTATTTTGGAAGTATAAATTTACAAAATCCAAGGCCAAGACACCTTAATCGGCTTCTAAATGTAAATGTGCAGTATGTTTTAGAATCTGTGTCTGTGGGATATGCAATTAGGCAATGTGTACAAGTTAATGAGCACGTCAAGGCTATCACTGCACCTACTCGATTCATAGAGTATAGAGCTTCTACCATTTCCAAAGATCTATTATGCACAGCAGCAGCCACCTGTAAGCAAAGGGAAAAATTTCAAGTACAGGACAAAATGTTCAATAAAGACCATGAGCTGAAAAAAGGCAGGTTCAAATAACTAGATACAAGCTTGACCCAGAAACTTTACAAAGAATTTTAGGCAACAGCAAGTACAGGCATACCCCTTTTATAGCAAAACGAAAATCCCACCTTTCATTCCAACCTTAATTAATGAGAAGCACCTCAACACTGAAAAATAAACTAACCTTCTTCCAGTCTTTCCCATATTTACGGAAAGCTTCATAGAAACACTCTAGCTCCTCCTTACTCCATTGAGGTCCTAACATGTCAGCCAATTTTCTCTTCTGCATATCATTGAAAAGTAATAATGAAATTTAAAGCAAATAATGCTGAACCAAATTTAACAAGTTACTTCTTTTTCTTAAATTAGAAAACTCCTAATGAGACACCAGAAAAACTATCATGACAACTTCCTTTCAGTTTCTTGGAGTGAAGAGTCATAGAGGAACAGTGATGAAAGAAAAGAGAGAAAGAACTGAGACAAACCAAACTTCATATTCCAAAGGCGGAACTGCAGATCCTTTAAAATGAGCCCCAACTTTATAACATGTAAATTGGTATAATACACATGCATAATGAAGCCTTTTCAACGCAGATATTGAGAGTAGGAAATGAAATTGCTTTACACTGAAAAACCAAAGTATTAAAGTACAACTTTTGTGTTATCTTATGTTCCACTACTATAATAAGATTAAACTTGCAGCAAATCACTTGGTCCCACCAGAGGATTTATAACATTGGTTATACATTAGCTTACAATTACTTCATCTCTCTTAATTAACTTAAGTCATTCTCTTAGGGATACAAAAGAGTAAAAAGAGCCATATTTCATTAATGCACATCATAATTGTTTTGCCTCCTCTTATCATAAATAACTACAAATGCATTGGAAATGCCACAAGGGGGCATATGCATAAAGGCACACAATAAATTATATATCCTACCGTCATCAAATTACGGTTATATTTCAGGAAAAAGGAAATAAAATAAACTGTACAAGAAGGAAACAAAGGATTGCTAGAAGACACTGGGGGAAATCCAGATTATTCTGGTTCCTGAAAAATACATTAATTGATTTCAAACCATGGTCCATAATACACATTATTATATAATAAAAATTTTGTTAGAACAAAATCTTGACCATTTGGTCTCTGAACCTATCTTGTCATCTCAATCAAGGACCATTTCAGACTAAAAGCTTCAGCTGTTAAGGTTACGCCAATAAATGGTTTATTAATATTTCTAAATTGTCCCTTCAAGTGAAAAGTGAAAACCCTTTGGGCTTAAAGCTTGGATTACAAACAGGCCCCTCATATGTCGTTTCAAAATTAATTTAATTTCAGACAATAGCGTCAGCAAAGATTGAAATTCCAGCTTCTTGATCATGACGATTTGGATACCATGTCTATGGGGCATGTGCAAGGAGGTTGACAATCTTTGCTTAGCTGATTAGTCTTGCTTAATTTGGCTTTTGCGTGCTATTTTCTTTTAGTTTCTTTGTACGTAAACCTATTTATTCTTAATAACATTGTCAAATATCTATAAACAAAAAATAATTAATATTGAGCAACATTACAAAGAGTACATCCACATACATCACGGAATTGCACTTATAAATTAGGTGCTTTGGCATTATTATTGGAATTTATCTTCAATTGTTATAATCAATTCAAACACCCATATCAAAATTTCAGTAACTAAATGTGACCACCAAAAGCACAACATGGTCATATTTGCTGGATCCACGCATCAAAGTTCAACCATGTAATCAATCAATCGGACCATCTAGAAAAACAATGGTCAGAGCATTATTATTTTGAATTCAACTTGATGTCTAATCTAGTATCAATTAAAAGTTAACATCACCAGAATGGCATCAAAAGTCAAGCTATTTGTTAGGTGCAAGGTATTAATGTGGAAATGAAGAAATTGTGTAAAAAAATTCCAACACTGGTATATATATACAAGTGAAATTCTTCCTTACCACCTACTGTAGTGTGTGTATGTCTGTGTGTAACCACAACATGACACACAGGCTCTCACACACACATACACACATAATTAAATAGAAAGATCAACAAAAAAAGCACCAACATGCAAGTTAGCATCAAAGTTTCACACATATGATATTTTTCCTTATTGTAAACAAAGTTATGTGTAACAATAATTCTTTGTAAAGCAGTTTAGCAGCAAACATACCTTCTGAGTTCCTGGACTACCCTGCGGCCTAGTCTTGCTAACATTGTCTGTATTTTTATCTTTGTTAGTGACACTTTTGGATTTTCTAGATGGAGCCATGGGTAATGCTTGGTTTTCTGAAATTATCAGAAAGAGAATTTAAGGAAAATCACAATTTTCAAAAGAAATCAGATATAATGAAGTAATTATAGACTTCAACAACAATTAGTCAGTTGCACTTAGCCACAGTAAACACAGGGAATTCGATGTAAAGAAGATTTTGTACTTGAGAATCTAATGTTTGTCGTAGACGAACGACAACTGAAGCAGCATCTCCTGACCATCCAAAAACAGGGTTGATGAGAAATCACAAGTTCAAAACTAGAAGTTGCTTGCCACGAATCAATGAAAGACAAGAAGAGTACAAGCCAATGACGAAAATAGAATATTTAGCAGGCAGGCAGTTGCCTTCACACTACCCAAAAAACACAGTTTGAAATATTGAACATATAATCAGGAATCTGCAGCTTCACTAACGAATTTATGATAAATAAAAATTAGATACAGCAAGTTGAAACACCCTAGTCCAAGTTCTGCAACCAATTGATGTGTCATTTATGTAGAAAATAGTTGTCTCTCTAATAACAGATCAAATGACAGGAGAGGAAGCATATATTGAAGTTTCAATGCCAAGTCCGAGCTGAGAACCGTGATAGAAAAATCACTACTCGTCGAGTTGAGAGAGAGGGAGAGGGAGAGAGAGAAGCAAGGATTGCTGCTACACTAAATTTGGCAGCAGCGAAACAAGTAGAAAGAGAAGAGTTGCGGCATCTCGAAGAAATAAATCCATGAACATAACCTAATTGCATACAGCTTTTAACGAAAATCATCTCTGTAGTCAAAACGCTTCCTTTTGCTTCAGTTTACGTCCATTGAAACCCGAAACAGCGCGAAATTCGAAATTTAGAGACTTTGCCTTTTTATCCCTCTTGATCTAAGTTTTCTCTGCAAGCATATCAGACTAGAACAATCCAGAAGATCTTCCAGAATTGAAGTTTCCGACTTTGACAAACAAAAAAAAAGTCCTGCTTCCTGAATCACTCAAACGAATTGAACATAAAAGAAAAGTGAGCATCATCGAAATGCAAGCTCACCTATTCGGCGAGCCTTCACATCGAAGATTCGAAGCAAGGCTGTTAGATTAGAACGCGATCAAGTGGCGGGAGAAACTAGTGACATTGACAGTAGTGATGATTGTTTGATAGATAGAAAAAGTTGAAAAACCGCGATGAAGGTGTTGGTGCTGGCGTTGGGAGTGCGATTGTAAGTAATTATAAATTATTAATTATGAATTCGTAATTCGTAATCACCCCTTAACGATAATAAATTCCACGTCATAACCCCAAAACTGAAAATATTTTATACTCTCTGCAGTTCAATTTATAAAATAATTTTAAAGATAATTTGACATCTGAAAATATAAATAATTTGATAAAAATAAAATTTTATTAAATGTAATTTTTTAATATTACCATTCTCCCCTTATCATATTCTTTCCTCAATCTTTTACAATTATTAATTGAAGAATATTTTTAAAAATTTATAATTGTTTTTTAAAAAATAATAAAGTTGTAAAGTGTATTCCTTCTATTTAAAAATATAAATATTTTTAATTAAATTTTATCTCGATAAAGCAGCTATTTATTTTTAAATTAACACAATTTTTTTATATTTACCGTAAGTGTTTCACTCTAGAAGAAATATAAAGTGATTTATTTATTGAGGGTATTTTTAAAAAAAATGCGATGATGAAACTTTAAAATACTAAAAATGTGTTATATTTTTTAACGAACAGAATATTTAATAAATTTTAATGATATATGTAAATTTATCTAAAATTACTCCTTCTAGTCTCTTTTACAAGAAACATCCAAGTAAGCCACCAAGATGGTTAAATTATTGACTTTGATTAAAATAGAATAAATTTTTAATTGTATTCTTATTTAAAATGAAAATTTTAAAATTTACATTATATTCTCTCTTATAATTAATGGATTTAAAAAAGGGTTGTATTCAAAACATAATTAATATCTTATCAAATATTTTCATTATATTAATAACTAAAGAATCTTATTAGAAGACATTGTATAATAGATATGAAGATGAATATCTTATAAATGGACTGGAGGGAGCATTCAAAATAGTAATAAGAAATAATGATAGTGAGATCCTAAAGGCTAGAACATCAGATCAATAGCAATCAAATATTGACTAAAATTTAAAAGAAAAAATTGAAAACTTACAACAAAGGTGTCAGAATTTGGAGTGTCTTTTTACATAGTTAATTCATAATCATCCATTAACAATAATGTATTTCATGTCATAACTAAAAAATTTAAAATAATTTATATTTAAATTAAAAATAAGATAAAGGTACATTTTTATTTTTAAAATATTCTCCAAAAAGCACTCAACATGCTAATCTATTAGTTGAAATAATTTTGTCTTTGAAATAATTAAAACAAAGCATTTTTGCCCTTATTGTCAAATTTCCAACATTAATAATTAGAAAATGCTAACTAGGACTCTAACATTGATCATTAGAAAATTTAATGGCAAGGGCAAAAATGATTCATTTTAATTGTTTTAAGAATAAAATTGTTCCAACTAATAGTTTAAAGTGTTAAGTGCTTCTCGAAAAATACTTCAAAGGCAAACATAGACTTTTACCTTTAAAATAATAAGGAAGAATGATGATTAAGCCATAGGACATCAAATTAAATAATTAAGGGTAAATGAGCAAATTACTCCTTTGAATAGCATCATAGATCATAAACTTGTTTATTGTATAAATAGTAAGGTTAGTCTTAGTAAACCAACATTTAACTAACACATTGTGTGAGATCATATAATTAATCCAAAAGAATTGAATATCGATGGTTAACTTTTTGCAAGTATTAAAAAATTTAAGGGTATTTCTTTCAAAAATTGAGATTCGAAGTTTAAACTTTATAAAACACTTCAAACACAACTTTATTAATTCTAAAACAAAGTAAAAACAAATACAAAAGCATGGGGTACTATTTGACAATCAAAAAACCTCAAAACTAGTTGAAAAATAACAAGTGAGAAAATGACAAAGGAATATGTCGTGCCATGCGCATATGCACCACAACTTGCTCCTCTATATGTTGTTGCCAAGGACACATTGCATAGGATCTTAACAACAAATTTTTGTCATTTGACAACAGCCAGGGAAAATTTCTAACATGCCCCATTACTCCATTCAATATCCAATCAAAGTGATCTAAGTTTTTACAAAAAGCTCCCTTAATATACTAGCCATTGGCATAAGTTTTACTTTCAAATAATTTCACACAAAAAAGTTGAACACTCAAATATATTTTCAAAATTTTTTCACTTACACATAGACAAGGTTGTCCAAAATCTAACACATGTGCCAAAAGCTTCACTCAACACTTAGACTATAGTTAATGGACCTAGGACTACCTGTGCAACACACCACAATTATATAGTGACACTTAATTTTCATTTTCAACCATCAACCCCTCAATGTCAAAAACAATAGGGGGAGGTCCATCATTACATTTAATTAAAAGAACTACATAGTAGTAACATTTTAACATCAATACACTTACACGAGTATTTTGACCTTTTTGAAATTTACAACATGCTTACACAATAATTTTAGGACCCAAAATACAACCAATCAATTATGCATTAATAATTAATGCGAGTACAAAACACAATGTTTTCTTAATTGGAAATATCATTGAAATTATACACCCAAGTCATAGTTTAAAATCAAGGAGACAAGGTCTGAAAATGGGACATGTGCCATGGCATATGACACAGAGCCACAGGCTCCCCTTTTTTGTGCCATACGCCATGGCACATGTGACAGTAATTTGACAATTTGCAGAGCAAACTTTTGGTGTGTGTTGTTTTCACTTACGATATCTAATCGGAGTGATTTAAGTGCCCACATAAGGCTTGTAACACCCTCAAATTTACAGACCGATTTTTCAAAAATTATTAATTCAACAAATTTTTTTTTCATTGAACCCTTATCATACCCTTATCATGGTAGAAAAATTTCTACCATGATACATCTAAGATAATATATCACAAGTCTTAAAATATCTCAAAAAAAAATTAGAACCATGAGGGACAGACAGGATCCTCATGTCATGATATTCAAATCAGATCATAAATCAAGAGGGACAGACATAATCCTCTTGGTCATATAAATACTTTTAATAAAAAGGATTAGAGTTTACATGCTTCACAAAAAAGATATGTCCTAAGTTGGCACAAGATACATTGTATAATCTAAAATAAGAGGCAACATAAAAGATGGTGTCTCATACACTATAGTTACACCTCTGGTGCTTTCTCGGCCGGACTCGCTCCTGTAAAAATATTAACCACGGGGAATGAGACTTAAAAGTCCCAGTAACCAAAAATTAATATGTAATGATGCATGCGGATGTAACTAATCATGCGATTGCTAAGTGGGCACACAAAACATTTAACCAAACAATATTTTCAAACAAACCGAACAAGTATTTAATTTGCATGACTACACCTTATATCCTCCTTTCGCCATGCTCGGACGCCAAATCACCCGGCCAAAGGTGAGTTGGACCAAGTGACACGCCACTCATTGGGTTCAATAAGGGCTTACCACGTGGTAATAATTAACCGAACAGAAATTCCCATTAACACCATACATTAAAATACCCTGACAAGTCATGCATCATTCAAATATCCAAACAGGAATATATCCGAACAATAATATCTCATCATGATAAATAAAAATAAATTTTTGACCCATTTGGCAATAATTTCAAACAAGTATATAACAATATTTATTTTCAATAATTCATAGTTTTTATAAACAACAAGTCAACACATAACCATTCACAAACACACTCATCACAACACATTAATAATGGTTACCTTGTGTCTTGAATAACAAGTTCTCCTTCACAACTCCTTTTTTACCACTATCTTTGTCAATATAATCTACATAATTATTTCACAATACTATATATTAATTTTACATTAAAATAAATAACTCTAATTTAAAGAATTAGAAAGTCTTACATCTATAATCCATATTAATACTAATTTAAGATTTATGCCTCATTTAACTTCCCAAATTTTTTTCTAAAATTCTCATACCTTAATAAACTATTTTTTTATCCTTAAATCACTTCTCGTATCACAATTTCATCCTTCTATATTCTAAAAATTCGTCCAAAAATAAATTAAAAATTTTAGAATTATCCTGAAGCCTCAAATCATCTTTCTATAGCCTTAAAAATACCTATTCATACTTAAATATTTAATAATCATAGGTTTATCCCTACATCTCAGATTCCACATAAATTCAACCATATAGATCTAGATTTTAACTCAAAAATTCTTAAACATGAGTTTCAATCTCAAAAAAATATTTTATAATATTTATTATATCCCTAAGAGTTTTAACCTATATTTTTAATCCATCATATCATCAGATTAACTATCATATAGAAAAATCTTAATCAGAATATTTACTCTATTCTACAAAATAATCATATCACTAGAAAGCTAATATTATTTAGAAAATAACTATAAAATTAATTTTGTAATTAAATAAATTTTTAAATGTTAATCTAAACAGGAAAGTTAGAACATACCTGAAGAAAAAGAAAATAATCCCCCCTTGCGAGAAAACGCCAAGCAACGTGAGAGGAAGAGAGAAAAATAATATAAAAATGGGATTGTGGTCCCAAAATTATATTAAAAAAAAAACTATAGGTTTAAATCTAATTATTCAAACCTTTGGGCCATTACTTGCAATTTTCACAAATTGTATCTTGGGCCCTTATAAAAATTGCAATAAAAAATTCTTCATGCTTCCTCCACAATGCACCTCCTCTTTTTATACATGAGGAGGTGCCTTTCATTCCCACATCTAACCGATGTGGGACTAAACCCCCTCCCCCTTTTTTTTTTTACTTTCTTTTCTTTTCTTTTTTTTTAACTCACACTCACACATTAATAATATTTTTTTTAAATCTTAAAATTATATCTTAACAAAAT